AGGACATGAGGACATAGTGTGCCAACTGTAAGGGGAGGACATGAGGACATAGTGTGCCAACTGTAAGGGGAGGACATGAGGACATCGTGTGCCAACTGTAAGGGGAGGACATGAGGACATCGTGTGCCAACTGTAAGGGGAGGACATTGTGTACCAACTGTAAGGGGAGGGCATTGTGTGCCAACTGTAAGTGGAGGACATTGTGTGCCTACTGTAAGGGGAGGACATGAGGACATTGTGTGCCAACTGTAAGTGGAGGACATTGTGTGCCAACTGTAAGGGGAGGACATGAGGACATTGTGTGCCAACTGTAAGGGGAGGACATGAGGACATTCTGTGCCAACTGTAAGGGGAGGACATTGTGTGCCAACTGTAAGGGGAGGACATTGTTTGCCAACTGTAAGGGGAGGACATTTTTGCCAACTGTAAGGGGAGGACATTGTGTGCCAACTGTCAGGGGAGGACATTGTTTGCCAACTGTAAGGGGAGGACATGAGGACATTGTGTGCCAACTGTAAGGGGAGGACATGAGGACATTGTGTGCCAACTGTAAGGATAGGACATTGTGTGCCAACTGTAAGGGGAGGACATTGTGTGCCAACTGTAAGGGGAGGACATTGTGTGCCAACTGTAAGGGGAGGACATTGTGTGCCAACTGTAAGGGGAGGACATTGTGTGCCAACTGTCAGGGGTGGACATTGTGTGCCAACTGTAAGGGGAGGACATGAGGACATTGTGTGCCAACTGTAAGGATAGGACATTGTGTGCCAACTGTAAGGGGAGAACATGAGGACATTGTGTGCCAACTGTAAGGGGAGGACATTGTGTGCCAAGTGTAAGGGGGGGGACATTACAACACAGTTTAGAATTAAAAAGACGATCCATAAATACCACTTAATTTAACCTTTTAAGAATTCACAATTTGCATCGCATGTTTTTTAAGAGCACAATCTATCTTATAATTTTAGTTCCACATCTCGGTTTATTTAATGTAATACGAAGTACAAAAAAAAAAAGACCTAAGAACACACTAAGATTACCATCAATTAATTTCACAACAACAACCCTATGGATGGTGTTAACTCTCCTAAGAAGAGAATTAACGTATTCTATATACGTCTCGGTCGTTCATTCAGCCCCCCCCCCCTCCCCATCTCCCCCAGGCAGGATAACTGCCGAGCACAGAGGCCTAGTGCTGATACCCGACAGCGTTTGTCTCGTCTGTGTTCGTGAAAAAAAAAACACCTCCTTGCAGACATACTTTTTTTTGTTTCTAAATATAGCAGTGAACATTTGCCAGCCTAAATAAATCAATTTGTAGAGGCTCTGTAAAAGTAATAAAGTACAGGTAAAACAAGGCTAGTTCAGGCGAGATCTACACACCTCTGTACTGTACATGTTTGGAGAGGTCGTTTTTATATGCTACATCCGATACTTAATACATTTAATGCACTACTTTTTTAGACTACCTCGTCTTGCACTATTTTTTTTTTAAGTCTTCGTGTATGCATTTTTATAAGCTTTTTTTGAATGCACTACTTTTTTTGACTGCTTCCTTTTCATATTTAAAAGACATAAACAACTCTTTAGGCCACATTTTGATAAAACATTTTTTTAAAGATTTGTTCGACTTTTTAAACTAGATCAACTTGAAAAACTTAAGAACATTCAGTTCATTTTAGCTGCAAATCATTTTTTCACAATTCTTAAAATCACCTTTAATGCGAAAAAAAAAACTGTAACAAAATTTAATTAATTTTACTCAATGCTGACCAAAAACAATATATATTTTAGATAAATCAATGCTCCTGCTGAAAAGACACAAGTTACAATGTGAAATGAAGGTAGGAGGAAGTCCATCATTATCTTTGGATGAGGACAGACATTCTGAGACCATGTGAGACGGTAAGGGGTGAAGAGAGAAATTGTCAAAAATTAGTGGCTGTTTATTTAAAAAATACTATTTATATATCTCGTTTTCTTTCACTACTTGCATGAACGTTTTTATGCGCTACTTTCAAAACAACATTTTATACCCTACTTGTTTAAAAAATGTAATCAGTGTTTCTTCCAGACTTTTTTCTCCGGGGGGGGGGGCACTTGAAATTTTCGGCGGGGGGGGGGGGGGGGCGGTAAACTTTCTTCGGGGGGCCGGACACTGTTAAAAGTATATATTTTCTATATAAATTATATCAATTTCATTTCGTTTGTGGGGGGGGGGGGGCGGTAAAAATTTTTCGTGGGAGCTTCGCCCCCCCGAAAAGATACCTGGAAGAAACTCTGAATGTAATTATTAATTTTAAAAACAATTTGTGTGCACTACTTATACTTATATAATGCCGCATTTTTAAGCAATACTTTTAAAACTGCATGTATATGCACTACGTTTTAATTTTACGTTTCGATGCACTACGTTTTAATTTTACTTTTCGATGCACTACGTTTTAATTTTACTTTTCGATGCACTGCGTGTTAATTTTACGTTTCTATGCACTACGTTTTAATTTTACATTTCGATGCACTACGTTTTAATTTTACGTTTCGATGCACTACGTTTTAATTTTACGTTTCGATGCACTACGTTTTAATTTTACGTTTCGATGCACTGCGTTTTAATTTTACGTTTCGATGCACTACGTTTTAATTTTACGCTTCGATGCACTACGTGTTAATTTTACGTTTCGATGCACTACGTTTTTAGACCACATCCCCGCGCACTCCCCTAAAGCACATGTAACATTTGGTAGCCCCGGCTTATCTAAGTGATTACCTGGTGTAACTAGATAAGGGCAGCCCAGGTCAATCGGAACCGATGGCGTTGAGTATTTAAAAAAAAAACGGGAGTAGAATAATTTTTGTGTATAAAGCGTTTTTTCTTAAAGCAATCGTCCCAAAGTTCTACTCCCATCATTTCGCCCCCCCCCCCATCCTCCGGGGTGATGGAAGGTGTAGGCTCGCTAGAGGGCACCACTGTTGACTTGTTTATTAGTCATTGCTATGATTCTCGTTTTTCTGGTTTAATTAATCAAGTAAAGGGCAGCCCCGACAATGTTCTCTATTTTTTAGAATGTGAGTGGATGATTTTTATTTTTCAATGCTTTTTTTTCTAACTAGAGGAGCCATGGACATGCAGACTCACTCAAGTCCCTCTGACAGCGGCGGTGTTGGTTTGGGCATTTTGTCCCATCAGATCTTTATTTCATAAACAAGGCGAACAATACGTAAGTGAACATACACAATGTCAACACAATATACCAAGGTACAACATTGGGTGCAAAACATACACGTGTTACACAATCTTAACAAACACACACAGAAAAATAACTTCAACAAACATACACAAGTAAAACAACCTCAACACACATAGACACAAGTAAAACATCATTGACAAACATACCCAAGTAAAACAAGCTAGACATATATAGGCCCTACGCAAATAAAACCTCATTGACAAACATACCCATGTAAAACAAGCTAGACATATACACGCAAGTAAAACATCATTGACAAACATACACAAGTAAAACAACCTCAACACACATATACGCAAGTAAAACATCATTGACAAATTACCCAAGTAAAACAACATCAACACACATATATGCAAGTAAAACATCATTGACAAACATACCCAAGTAAAACAACCTCAACACACATATATGCAAGTAAAACATCATTGACAAACATACCCAAGTAAAACAACCTCAACACACATATATGCAAGTAAAACATCATTGACAAACATACCCAAGTAAAACAACCTCGACACAACAACAACAAAATAGCAACACTACGCCACAGCTGTCTGTTCTGTATCGTAACTGAGAGGGGTTCGTTTGACTATTCTGTGTGCTGGACACTGTATCGCTGTGTTGCGGTTCCTATAGTAAATACAATAGGGCATGTAAAGTAGATTTCATCTCTTTCTTAACTACAGAATATGAATGGATTGTGTGGTCAGCACCAAGCACTGGCTACTTTACTTCCCTTAACGTGAAAAGGTACCCATATAAGCCTAGAGCAGGGGTTCCCAACCCCGTGCCCGCGGGTGCCATGGCGCCCGCCGAACGATTCGTATGTGCCCGCCTCTCACTATTCGACAGAGACAGAATTTTTTTCATAAACATGATTGAAAGGTTGAAGGGGATGGAAATCGAAAGTTTGAGGGGTGGGGGTGCAAATCGAAAGTTTAAGGGGGGGGGGTGCAAATCAAAAGTTTGAGTGGGGGTGCAAATCGAAAGTTTGAGGGGGGGGGGGGGTCGCAAAACGAAAGTTTTGTCCCCGGGTGACGGGAAGGGTCGCTACGCCTCTGGAAGGAGTTTGTTGATTTAAAATAGGTGGTGCCCGCCACCCTACCGATATTTTAGAATGTGCTCTAGAGTAAAAAAAGGTTGGGAACCCCTGGCCTAGAGGACGTGACATCCTACAGTCCGAGATCCGAACTCGAGTTTTACAGGTTAGCAGTAGAGCGCTCCACCACTATACTTCATGTTTCCTTTAGTATCTTGTGCTATTTTATTTTGTCAGCAACGAGAATGTTGGACACATCATTCTGTCAATACTAAGATGAATTTGTAAGCCAGGAAGACAGAGCGAAACGTGAGTTTTATTTTTGGGTCTCCTATGTGTAAAGGGAGGTAACAAATACAATTATTTCATTCTCAAAATAACGAGTTTTCCCCCTTTAACCAATATTTTTCAAATGTGTGTTTCGATGCGTAGTAGTAGGGGTCGGCGTGGTCGAGTCGGTAAATTCTCGAGTTCGAACCCTCGGGCAGATGAGGCTCGAGATCTGGGGACAGCCACTCTTCTAGTAGCGACAAATCCAAAATCAAACAACTGCTGACTTGTAGTTTGTTCTTGGTTGGTCAAAGGCTATGGAAGCAAACCCAAAAAGAAAAGCAGTCTGAAATCGGAGTCCATTGGCCTCAATGGCGCATAACCAGTTGGCATGTATCCTTAATTGTGTTGGAGGCGTGGTCGAGTCAGCAAAAGCTCATGGTTGTTATATTCGAAAAAAGTCTCGAGTTCAAACCCTCTGGTTCGATCCCTTCTAACACTAAAAATTAAGAACGAAGAAGAAGATGCGCAGTAGTGAGGTCCATGTATGCTTCATATAGTATTTACTTGTGCTCATCATAATTCATTCATAAACAAACATAATTAACAAGGAAACACATGTTAATGCTACAAACTAAAAACCTTTTTTCTATGTACAATTCCGTTACACATGTGTTGCATGTTTTAGGTAAATATATATTCTCGAAAAGACATAGTTTGTACTTAAACGCATGTTTTCAAAGTAGTCTTTGTACTTAAAACACATAACCCTGTCGTTTAAAATATTCCAGTGCCTTCAGCTCTATTTTAGACTTTTTAAAATCTTTCTGCTTTGTCTTTGGGTGAGCGTGGAGCGCTTCACTGGACGCCACAAGGGAGGCAACATCACACTCAGGCCGTCCCTGCACAACGGGACACAACCTCTGCTCCAACATAGCGTAGCGAGGATCGCTGGTCCTGCTGGTGATACGTTCGCCGTACTTGCTGGGAACTTTCTTCGCCCTAATCCACGTGGGCAGGTCGGAAGTTGACGGCCGTTTGCTGTCGGCGCCGGACATCAGGGTGGGGGCCTGGGACGTGGTGGACGTGCGTCTGTCGGACTCGACGCTTTGAGAAAGTTGTCTGGAGTTGTAACGGTAGGAATGGTGTCGAGCTTCCGGTGAAGGATTCGCCTGAGCTCGCGTTTCTTGCGGAGGATTTGTCTGGAACCCAACTTCCGGTGGTGAGCGATCTATGGTCACTTTGACTGTCGGTGCTTCAACTATTGTCCCCGTGTTTTCACTCAACACTGAATGGGATTTAATCCTCTTCTCGTACGCCGCCACAGCTGGAGGTTTTGCTTGTACATTTTCCGTGTTCCGCGATGGGTTCGTTCTCGTGGCGTTGCTTCTACTGGACACTGTGTAACGTTTCTCGCCGTCCACCGAAGCAGACACCACCCTTCGCAGCTCAGCTTTCCTCCTCTGCCTCTCCTGAAACACCATCTGCTCGTACTTATTCTGCATGATGAACTTGTACCTCTCCTTCGACAGCTCCAACAGTTTAGATTTGAGCATGCGTTCCTCTGTCACGTTCTCAGACATCAGTCCAGAGGCTCTGACCATGTCTGGGGTAAAGTTGGTGTCTTTGCGGACCCAGGCTTGGATTTCTTTCATGGCGCTGGTTCGGATCCTTAGGAACCTGTTGGCGCCTGTTGAAGCCCTCGGTTCATCGGTCTCTTCCATTGTGTGAGCCTTGAGCAGTTTTAGAGTATCCTGTATGTCAGTTTAGTTCATACATATCACACATAGCTTTGTTCAGGAATCGCAAAGAAATGTCTTATTTCTGAAACGAAAGTAAAAGCGAAATCAAACAGTAATTAGTAAATTGATATTGCGACAGTTGTTCTATAGTAGTTAGCACATAGTGTGTCAGCTTAACTCCCTTGGGTGCCTTAAGCACTTCGTTACTAGACATTTTGAATTTGCATAGTGTATTAAAATGTTTAAGAATAGTTACACCAGAATTGTGGGGGTGGGAGTGGTAGCTATATGCCCAGAGAGCGGGGGAGTAACGGCGTGCGTTTACGCGGTGTCTTGCATGGTCCCCATGTAGAGAGTTATATATATATAGATAGATTTATAACTCTCATTACAAATATCAATTATATGCTTATTATTTTAAAATAGCGATTTGATTGTGTCGATTCAGTATTAAATCGTAACATTAGCCGTATTGAAGACGTCTACTACTTTTCCTCAAGGCTAGTCAGTTATATTTTATTTCCTTCACCGCGGGAGCCCATCATCAGTGAACGAGCTTAACGAAGTTCCCAATTTTGGCTCGTTGCCCGGCCTTGTAAATCAATCAATAGCATTGGCCGAACCCGAGGAACAAACCCAGTGACCGGAGAAAACACAGCGGGCCAAAGTTTAGCACCGGCAACACTCACCAGGAGATCTACAGGCTCGCACAACACAACTGCGCAAACATAAGGATGTGTTGTTGTTTTTTCATTGAATGATCTATGTCTAAACGTTTTGATATTTTCATAGTTTACGTCTTTAGCATTCGGGCTCATCATATTATACTACTCAATAAAAGCTGCTAATTAGCATGTTATTGAGCAGAGTTTCTTCCAGGCATCTCTTAAAAAAGCCCCCCCCCCCCCTCGAACGAAATGAAATTTATATAATTTAATTTATATAGAAACTATATACTTTTAACAGTGTCCGCCCCTCCCCCCCCCCCTCGAAGAAAGTCTACCGCCCCCCCCCCCCCCTCAAAAATTTCAAGTGCCCCCCCCCCCCCCCCCCGGAGAAAAAAGTCTGGAGGAAACACTGTTATTGAGCGGTGAAGTGGAAGGGGTAGGGTGTATATGATCTTAATCAGAGACTGGGTGGTGGTAAAAAAATGGGTAGGGGATGCTCATAACCAGATGCGTGGGTGTAAGTGGGGGTGGGGGGATGATTGGACATTTTAATTTTCTAAAGCAGATGAATATAATATAAATCTGGAACTATATCTTGCATGCAACAAGCGGGAGAAAAAAAAATTACCTGTACATGCAATGGGAGGAAAGAAAAGATCATTTTGTTTAATTAATGGTAATATAGGAGGTACAGCATGACGTATTAGGTTAAATGGCGTCTTAATGGGACGCGGGTCTCTATCAGATGGCGTGCACGGTGATCACGCCACTGGCTGGGGCAGGCTGGGTGGAGACATGCAAGTGGGAAGGGGGTAAGTGGGAAGGGGGTAAGTGGGGGGGGGGGGGGTAAAGATAGACGGATGCTTCACATGGAGATTATATGGTAAAGAGAGGGGGGTGTAACAGACCTGATGACAAACACGCGAGGTTTGTGGGGGAGGGGGGATATAAGGCAGATACAAATTCAGGTTCTGTGCAGGTGGGTGGAAAGGGTGGTCGCAGATAATGAACGTGAGATCAAGTAGTAACAAAACATATCCACTCTAAAAGTTAAAACTAATATAAGATAGAGCCCACGCATAATACTACAGTACAGTTGTAGGCTGTATTTCTAAAAGTGACTGCCCGTTGATCGAAAAATATTGTGAAACAGTAATTTCGCTAAATAGCTAGAATGTTTAAGACCATTTAATTAACTTAGTTTTAACATCTTGGTATAAAAGCTATAAACTATAAAAAAGTTAAATAACCAGTCAAAATCAAGGAGCTACTTACCAACAACACACAGCTAAATATATGATGTGCTTATGTCTTCACAACATTGTACGGCTCTATTCATTTTACATTGTTTTATCAATACTGGATCTCCTACTATAACATAGGCACAACACCAGATGATTATTCTTTATTACCGATAGTTAACTAAACACATCTGGTACTATTAGAAAGGTACCACAACAAGACATTTATCGTTTAACTTACCTTCAAAGTACCTGTCGTGGTCCGTAAGGTCCCAACATGATTCTTACGTCGGCGTTGTCACACGCTAATAAACAAATGATATTATTGCTTGAGTGAACATTCCACCCCTCCCCCCCCCCCCCCCCCCCCCCCCCCCACCCCGCACCCAGGCCTCTCCAGGGGTTAATAGTTTTATTGATTTATTGGGGAGATATTTTGTCTACGGCTACCCAGGCGTGTAGGCTTTGTTATCCAAATTAGGATATTCAATACACCGGATTTAAACGAAGAACACTCGTTTAAATTTAGATGTTTTGAAAATTATAATTGGTTGTTCGATTGATTTTAATTTTTGAAACGATATTTATTCCAAGTAGGGACGTTAATGCGCTCCATTAATCTTTAGATTAGATACACATAGGGATTGGTTTGTTTTTAAGTTAGGTTTGTAGATCATTTCTTTTGTGTGGTAATTTTTCATATATAAAGTATGGCACTCATCGATTGAAATCAGCTTATCGTTTGTGTCTACTGGTAAAAGAACGATTACTAAGGACAATACCTAGACTTTTGGAGCTGTTCTTTAGTACAGTCAAGACAAGACAAGGGTCATAAGTTCTTCAGAATTTTGGTGCACACAGAAACATCTACACACTAAAATAACCGAAACATTTAATTATATATATATATATATATATATATATATATATATATATATATATATATATATATATATATATATATATATATATATGTATGTATATGTATATATATATGTATATATATATGTATATATATATGTATATATATATATGTATATATATATGTATATATATATGTATATATATATGTATATATATGTATATATATGTGTGTATATATATATGTATATATATATATATATATATATATATATATATATATATATATATATATATATATATATATATATATATTGTAAATAATATATTATTATAAATGAAGTTCCTCTTTTAAAAAAAATCAGTCCAATTTACCGACAAAATACGTTCCATGCTTTTTTGCCTATTATAAAATAGCAAACTCCAGTGATTTTCTGCGTTTAATAATGTTATAATCCTCAAGTACAATACGTATGTAAATTCTCTTCGAATATGATATGGTGTAACCAGTCACCTCAAGCACTAGTAGTATGGAGATTTTCTGTTGTGCTCCAACACTGTTGTGTTAAAACTTAATACGTTCAGCCCCGAGTACAAAATGAAGTTCCTGTATTAAGGCCTGACGGTAGATTTTGTAAATATTAAACTAAAATCTAAAAAAAAGGAATGGAAATAGAAAATCTTAAAATATAGAATTGTTATTGAAAAATGCAAATAGAAAAAGAAATAAAAATGTACAAATTGCAATCAATGGACGAAAAAAGATATTGTATTCAAGGGATGCAACTAGGCCAGGGGTCGGCAACCTGCGGCTCGCGAGCCGCATGCGGCTCTTTTGACGTCCAGATGCGGCTCTCCAGCTCCTTGCACAAATTAATAGTTATATAATTTCATTTTTACTAGATGGTGGGATACGACTTTACCCTGCGTTCAGTGGGATGGAAGATAATCCTGGTGAGAACCAAAGGACAGAAGCGAACGATGCAAGTTATTCAAACCGATATCCAAGCCAGTTAGTCGGCGTTTGCCGTGTTGAGGCCTGACTGGTTAATGGGAGACACCTCCTAAGCCAGTGATATCCGTTAAGAAAAAATAAAATTAAAATTAACAGCTTCTAAAGTGGATTGAGATAGTCCTATAATAATATTATTTGATTACTAATTTTACTATTCTGGCGAAACATGTCTATGTTTTTATATGAATTGAATATATATTATTTCATATTTATAGCTATTTATTTTAAATAACAAATCAACCGTATTTACATTCCTAATCAAATACCGAATATTGAACTAAAAATGTTGTGGCTCTTTAAAAACTGGGAAAGTTTGTAAATCGTACCTTTTGGCTCTTGCGTATCAAAAGGTTGCCGACCCCTTAACTAGGCCTAGAATGTATTTAAAAATTTGCAGAAAGTCATGATACGAAAAATAACTCAGTATTGATTTGCGACCAAATGATGCAACTCAAAACAACTATGTTCATTTTAATTTTCTAGTTATCCTTCGTTTATCTACTCATAACAGTGATGCTGAAATATGCAAAGGAACAACGTTAATACATTATGTTACTGCGTAAAGATAGTTATTACAATTAAAGGAAGATTTGATTTTGAAAATGCGAACATCGATTCATAAATTGTGACTAGAAATTATTTTATAAATTTATAAATCCCACAAGACAGCTTGGTAAGACAGCTACTTTGAACATATGTACTGATCTTTGCTTTGCTTTCTAAAAAAAGGTAAATTAAATGCCAGCTGAAATTCAACTACGATAAACTTAGACGTTTTGTCTTACAGCCACTCGATCACCAAGCCGTACACCAACCCGTACACCAACCCGAGTACCCACCCTTTGAGCAAACGATCATCAACAAGTACACCAACCCGAGTACGCTATCTTTGATCGACGCGGAAACCAACCAGAGCACCAACCCATACACCGACCCGAGTACCAAGCCTTTGATGAAACCGATCACCAACCACTACACCAACCCGTGTACGCACACTTTGATCAAATCGATCACCAACCACTACACCAACACGAGTACGCACCCTTTGATGGCCGCGGGCACCAACCAGAACACCAACCCGTACATCGACTTGTACAAACTAGTACAAGATCCCTCGCACAAACCCGTACACCGACACTAAAATCCAAAATGCACACCAACCAGATCATCAACCCACATACTAACCCTACAACAAACACAAATACAACAGCATTCTCCATTTGATGTTTCATGTGCTTTGTGGTGCAACATTTCTATGTGCTGGTAGATCTAACTACAACTACAATAAACCGGCTCAGTACAAGAGCTGTTCGCTCATGTGTCATTCCACACAAACCAGTTCGCTCCATGCGATCGATTTTAAAAAAAAGAAACAACAACTCTAAATACAAAAGACAGGCCCGTTTGTCAAAATGTTGTTTCTATAAGTTGAAGGATTGAGTTTCCGCAGTGTAAGGATATTGATTTTAATCTGCCACGAGCTAAAATCTCAACAAGAAAACCGGCAATCACGCTCAGTGATTGATTGTGCTAGACTTCACTGAGGCAGCAACAATTAATCAACAATTAATCAGCCAATATAACGTTACTTTATTGTCTGACCGAGTGTGTTCATTCTTATATATATATATATATATATATATATATATATATATATATATATATATATATATATATATATATATATATATATATATATATATATATATATATATATATATATATATATATAACTTGTCGTTATATTAACATCAGGTACGGACGGGCCGGTGAGCTACTGCCTTACTAGACCTATAAATATAAATATACCCAGTGGCGTAGCGAGGTCGGGTGTCACCCGGTGCGGCACTTAATGGTGTCACCCCCCCAGAGGCGTTGCGACCCTTCCCGGGGACAAACTTTCAAGTTTTCGATTTGCACCCCCCCCCTCAAACTTTCGATTTGCACCCCCCCCCCTCAAGTTTTCGATTTGCACCCCCCCCCCCCCCTCAAACTTTCGATTTGCACCCCCCCTCAAGTTTTCGATTTGCACCCCCCCCCCCCTCAAACTTTCAATTTGCACCCCCCTCAAGTTTTTCTCTATATATTTTGCTATTTTTTGCCTTGGTGTCACCCCCCTAAATGGTGTCACCCGGTGCGGTCCGCACCCCCCCGCCCCCCCCCTCGCTACGCCCCTGAATATACCTCTTTAACAATACCAGGCACAAGCATGATAATCATGAAAAAAAAAAAGAAAAATTTTCCATCCGTTTGCATGCCCAGCCTAGAGATTGTGTTCCAACTCGGAGTTTCGTGTGAAGCAGGTATTAATTGAACATTTTATCAGGTGCTGATGGACACTTTATTTGTTTCCCCCCTTGGCTTGATAGAATTACTGAAAACGCGGTATTTTTATCAGCGGCCCTCTTGTCGTGGTGTATCGCGTGTAAATTCGTGTCGTGCCGCGATGGTTTTTTTTTTTTACTTTTTTAATTTTCTTTTCAGCAGTGGAGTGGCCTTGAGAAAAATTCTTTGATTGCTAGAGGTAAAAATTGTATTTCCATCACAACAAAAAATCTTTTAGAAATTAAAAGCATAAAAAATTATAAATTTTAATACTGAGTGTAAGAAATTGTTCTTTTTAAAAAAAAAAAATACGCAGCACTCTATAAAACTCATTTTGTTTAAAAATTAACTTTATAAATCTTAAAGCTCTAGTCATAAAACATGATTAATAAAATGATCCTATCCCTTTTACTTACTATATTATATTTACTACATCAATGAAGTTGTTTACAAAAAAAATTAATTCATTTAAATGTTTACTTAATGAAGTTATTATTGAAATTGCTTACTTTTTATTTTAGAAGAAAAATTTCACATGGTTACTTGACAAAATTATTATTAAAGTTTTTTTTAATAAAGTGAATACTTCAGATGTTCACCATGTGAATGGCAGCGGTCAAATCAAACAGCGATTTGTTGCCATAAATATTTTCCCCACACAAGACCACAAGTGAATGCTTGTTAAACCTCCCTGTAACTCATGTCCCTGTCGACGTACGCTACAGTTCCATCACCGTGAGCACTCTGTCAAGCAGACCCCATAGCTCAGGAAAAGACTCATCTAACGGAAGCAACGCCAGCTTTCCGGTCGCTTCCGGTATCTCGAAGATGACTGTTCTTCCGGAAGAGTGGACCCTGGCTCCAGAATGGAACATCGAAAGGCAGGAATCTTTTGAAGTAACATACGGCGATGACGTCATTGCCTTGAGCACCGCCCGCCCCCTGTATAGAAAGGAGAAAAAAAGGAGCACTTGAAAAAAGTGTTCTATCGTGCCATACC